TGCCGGCTTCCTTCCAGAGGAGAAAAGAGACTGTGTGGATTGTTATAAACTTGCTGTTTTTGTAATCTTGGACTGCTTTTGTTACTTTGTAATCTTGGACTGCTTTTGTTACTTTGTAATCTTGGACTACTTTTGTTACTTTGTAATCTTGGACTGCTTTGTTACTTTGTAATTTTGGACTGCTTTTGTTACTTTGTAATCTTGGGCTGCTATTTGTTACTTTGAATTCTAAGTTTTGGTCTAGTCTTATTTTAAAATTGAAAATAAATCTTTTTCATACAATATATTCTGATCACAATTTCTCCCCCCTCCTCCCAGATCATCCCCACTAATCCAATTCCACCCACTCCCTCTCTCACTTTTTAGAAAGCAAAAAATCCAAACCAGAATAGAACAAAACAGAGAAAACAAAACAAAACAAAAATGAAGAAAAATATGAGAAGCACATATACAGGCTCTAGAGATACATGCCCACACAGAAAACCCTTACAAACATAATATCCAAAACCATATATATATATGTGTATATATATATATATATGTATATATATATATATATATATATATATACAAAAGACCAGTAAAGTTTAAAAAAACTTTCTCAAAATACCACTGGACTCGTTTTTTGGGGCTTGGCCATTTATTGCTGGGCATGGGGCCTGTTATTGAGTGTGGATTGTGTACCCAGGGAGATGCCATTGGAGAAAACCAATGTTTTCTTTTCAAGAGGTTGTCAATTGGGGATAACCAAGCTTCTGTAAATATGAGCAAAATAGGGGGCTGGGGAAATGACTGAGTGGCTAGGGGCATCTACTTCTCTTCCCAAGGACCCAAGTTTTAGTTCTTAGACTATGCCAGACAATTTACAGCCCCAGGGACTCCAATACTCTCTTCTGGCCCCTGAGGGCACTGTGCTCATACCTACACATAAATACATAACCATAATTTTTAAAAAGTCTCTAAAATGGGGAAATAGGAATAGTAGTAATAATAATACCACCTTCTTTTGGGTTGTTGTGCAGGACACATTACATAGTTAAGTTAAACAGTAACCATTCCTTTGTTTAAACAGAAACCTCTATTGGCATTAGCTGTTACTACATACATAAAGGGTGACAATAAGGTGTGTGTATATAGTTTAGTATTGTTAAGGGAGTCACATTATAGGATAACAATATTCAGAACATTTTTTATTTGGCAAAGCTGGAAGTCTACCATTAAAAAACGTCCTCATAAGCCAGGTGTGATGGTGCCCAGAGCAGGCAGATGCCTATGAGTTTGAGGCCAGCTTGGTCTACAAAGTGAGTTCCTGGACAGCTAGGAACCCAAAACAAAACAAAACAAATAAACAAACAAAAATCCCAAAACAAAACAACTAACTAAACAAACAAACAAAACTACCTATATGGGAGGCTCATGAGGACCCACCCCTCACAGGGGGACTGTGGATGGTTAATGAGTGTGTGTGGGGGGGAGTCATTTTCTCCAGTAATATAGCCACTGTAAGTTGTCAGTAAGTAGTCCTCTATGCATACCCATGTCAGCAGCCACCATTAAACTCAGAGGGGGACATCAAAATGGGGGTCTTGCTGAGAAGAAGAAAGCCTTGAGAGAGAGTTGGGGGGAGAGGGTAATGGAGGTGAAAATGCCTCCAGTTAAGAATACAGGTGAATAAAATTGTCAAAGAATGAAAAGACCTCCCCACAAACAGCATTTTTATGGATGGGAGTCAAACCCCAGGCTTTTCTTACAAACTAACCATCCTGGCTGGAACAGGGAAATTCCCAGGAATCCACAAAGATTCCAGCTAAGACCAGGAGAGGGTGCGTGAACTGGCCTTCCCCTCTAATCAGATTGATGACTACCTTAATCATCATCATAGACCCTTCATCCAGCAAGTGAGGGGAGCAGAGGCAGAGATCCACAGCTAAGCACTGGGCTGAGCTCCCAGAGTCCAGTTGAAGAGAGGATGATGATATGCGCAAACTGGTCAAGACCATTTTGGGGATACTCACACAAACACCTGACCTGAGCTAGTGGGAGCTCACTGACTCTGCACTGACAGTGGGGGTGGGAGTGGAGTGGGGGGATGGGAGCTGGGGGACCCTACATAGTACCAACTAGGTACTCTGACTGCTGGTGATAGTTGTGAGGCTTGGGCAATCTGTGGGGGTCACTGACAGTAGGACCAGGATTTATCCTTAGTTCTTGAATGGGCTTTTTGGAGCCCATTCCCTACAGAGAGAGAACTTGCTCAGCCTAGATACAGGGGGAGGGGCCTTGGTCCTGCCCCAAATGATGTGACAGACTTTGTTGACTCCTCATGGGAAGCCTCACCCTCTCTGAGGAATGGATAGTGGATGGGGTGGGGAGGAGGTAGGGGGAGCGAGAGGAGGGGAGGGAGTGGGAACTGGGATTGGTATGTAAAACGAGAGAGATCATTTTAAAATTAAAAAATGCTGAAAAAAAGAATCAAAGTTATCTCTCAAAGTAGCTGGAGTAGTTGGGAAAGAGCAGTTATATGCTAATGATGTGATGTAATCAGGTCTCATCCATTCCTTGAAGTGCTGAACATACCCTTGGGTGGTTCTGGGGTGACCACTAATCCTGGATCTAGGGAGGAGGGGATGGATGATGAAGTGGGTCACTGTGTGGTCCATGAGTGCTTGAAACTCCTGCTGAAGGGTCTCCTATACCCTCTTCTTCAGAGAAGAAGGGTGGGGAGAGAGGCAGGGGCTAGTTCAGGAGATAGTAAATTAGCTGTGGTGGAAGATGGGAAATGTCGCCACAGGCTCAGGGCTTTGAGCATTTGGTTCCCAGTAGGTGGCGCTGTTTCAGGACGTCATGGAACCTTTAGGTGGTACAGCCTGGCAGGAGGAAGTACGTCACCGAGGATGGGCTTTGAGGGATCATATCCTCACTGCACTGTCTGTTCACTCTGCTTTGTGTTAGCAGGGAAAGATCTGATTTCTCCCAGCTTTCTGCTTCCTGATCACCGTGTTTAACACAACAGAAAAGTAACAAATACTCTAATTCCTTTGCTGTGGCTGCTGGAGAGCTTGATGATCCTCTCCGCTGGATAACTTGCTGCAAATGTCCAGGGGTAAGACATGGATTTGGGGTACTACAATCAATTTTGACTTTGCATTCTCTCTCCCTTCTTCCGTCCCACCCTCCTCCTCTTCTTCCTTGCTCCCACTCCTCTTGTTTTATTTTAAATCATGTGTCTTTGTGACCTCATGTGGTTCCTAGCGAGGCAAGAAGAGGGTATCCAGTAACCCAGAATCCGAGCTACAGGTGGTTGGGAGCTGTCTGATGTGGGTGCTGGCAACTGAACTCAGGTCCTCTGCAGGAGCAGCACTGGCTTTTAAACCATGGGGGCTACCTCTCCAGTCCTAGCTCTCTCCTGCCTCCCTCCCCCTTCCTCTCCCCTCCCTCCCCTTCTCTTCTGGTTTCTGTGGTTCCAGATAGCTCAGGCTGGTCTGGAACTCACTTTGTAGCTAAGGCTGTCCTGGAACTCCACAACCCAAAGACTGGAATTACTGGCATGCACCAACATGCTCAGCTTCTCATTTTCCTTTTCTCACTGGGCACATTTTATCATACCATTTAAGTATCAGACCGCAAATTCTGTCTACAAACAAAATAGAATATAATAGATGCAATTCTTCCAGGAAGTAGAAGACATACTCTGTGGGTCATTTTGGAGGAACTTCGATGGACTATTTCTGGAAGTGCAGAAGCCACCAAGAGATGTTCCCACTAGTAAGAGCAGGCTGGGGAGGGGTATTAGTTCCTTTCTTGGGCTACTGTCCCAAATTAGCATCGACCTAGTGACTTAAAACTTCATAGTATTATTTGCTCAGCATTCTGGAGGCCAGAAGGCTGAAATGAATTTCTGGGTAAAGACATGGTTTTGACAGGGACAGATCCTTCCGGATGTACCAAGGGGAGAAAGGTGCTGTGTAGCTTCAGGCTGCTGCTGGCATTCCTTGGTTTATATCCTTGTCACTCCAATCCTGGTTTCTCTGGTGACACTGACTTCTGTTCTTCATCGAAGTTCCTTATGCCCTCCTCTTGTGTGTGTGCGTACATGCGCGTACATACACGTGTGCACATGGAAGTCAGAAGTGAACCTCGGGTGTTAGCCTTAGGAACTTACATTATCATTTATTAATTTTTGTTATGTATGTGGTATATGTGTGCACAGTGTATGCATTTGTTTGTGTGTGTGTGTGTGTACATGTACATGTACCTGTGTATGCTTGGCATGCATTATTCTCTTGAGACAGGGTGTCTCACTGAACCCAGAGCTACACCAGCAGCCAGTAAGCTGCAGGGACCCTCTTGTCTCCATGCCTCACAGTGCCACATCTGGATTTTTTATTTGTATTTTTTAGTATGGATACCTGGGATCTGAATTCAGGTACTGATGTTTGCATAGCAGGTGTTCTTACCCATTGAGCCATTTTCCCAGTCTTCTTCATATTGGGAAAAGGTCTCTCATTGGCCTGGGGTTCACCCATTAGGACAGGCTGACTGGTCAACAAACCTCAAAGATCCTCTTGCCTTCCCCTCCCCAGTGCTGGGGTCATGGGTGTGTGCCAGCACACTTAGTTTCTAACATGGATTTCGAGACCCAAATTTAGGCCCACATGCTCACAGCAGGCGCCCACTATCTTATCTCCCCAGTCCCATGCCTTCTGTAAGTAGATTTGTGTTTCATTTAGCGCCAACATACTATTCCAGCATCAGTTCCTATCTTTAACTTGACTACGTCTGCACTCTCTTTTGCCACATAAAATTACTGGGATTAGGAATGTGCTAATTAGTTCTGTCAGCTTGACAGAGTCTAGAGATGCCTCAGAAGAGGGAATCTCAGTTGAGAAATTGCCTCCATCAGATGGGCCTGTGGGCAAGCCTGTGGAGCATTTTCTTGATGGCTGATTGATGCGGGAGGGCCCAGCCTATTGTGGGCGGGGCCATCGCTGTGGGTTTGAATTGTGTAAAGAAGGTAGCTGAACAGGCGAGAGGGAAGACTAGTAAACAGTGTTTCTCCATGGTGTCTGCATCAGTTCCTGCCTCCAGGTTCCTGCTCGAGTTCCTGACCTGGCTGTTCTTGGAGATATAGCCTGTAAGCCAAGCAAACTTTTTCCCCTCTCAAACCATGTTCGGTCAGTGTTGATCTTCATTTTGGTCATGCTCCCTGAGGCTTCCCTTCTTCCAGTTAACAGGCTGTGGGATGAGAGATGGAGACACGTTTCAGTCCAGGCTTTGGGTTTCTCTTTCTTATCCTCAGTGGCTTAGCCTAAAGTGAAGAAGAGCTGTTTGACTGACTTGAACGGGAGTGAAGAGGGACGGATCTCTAAGCGACGCAGCAATCAGCGCTCTGAAATCAGCACCAGCCCTGGGTCTCCATGAGAAGGCTACAGTACTAAGCAATTTCACTCCCCACCCCCATCTCGTCTTCAGCTAGCCCACGCTGTTCCTGAGACTTGCATTGGATTTTGATATTTTGACAGCTTGCACAGCTTATCTGTCATTTCAACAGTGACAGTTAAAATCACGCTTGGATCAACAGGGGACCGGAACCTGGCTCGGTAGGTAAGTGAGCCTACCGGGCTGCTGCAGCCCCAGCTACCCACAATCCTCAGCCTTTCTTCCTTTCTGTCACTTCCTACCAGGTGTCCTTCTTCTTCCATCCCCAGGCCGCAGCTCTGCATTCCCTCCAGCCCCTCCCCCCAGCTTCTGTCTTTAGTCCAGTCTTGAGTGTCTTTTCCTAGCAAAATGGCCGAGATTGACCTCAGGTGTTTTGGCTAATACCCACGTCCAAATTCTTACCTTCTAATGATGGCTCCGACATATTGTTTTATTGACATTTGAAACTGAAGACAAAACCAGCTGCTTCTCAAGGGAGGTGGGAAGCAAAACATGAAAAGAATCTTCCAAATAACCAGTGCTCCTACCCCGCCCAAACCCAAACCAATAAAAATGAGTCTAGCCAATAATTCAACCTCCATGCCTCCCACTCCCTGTGACTAAAGACTGCAGGGGCAGCACAGCGGGGACTCCTCATTGCCGAGGAATTTATCATCAGGGGTTTTATTAGGTTTAATGTAGCCAACCGGGCTTCTGAGAGCATTCTTTCTCCCCCAGGGACATTTTCCCCTCTAAGGACAAATGTTCTACAGAACTGACACCTAACTGTCTTTATAATCCAGTGTAACTTGGTTGAATGGCATCCCTTTCACGAATGCCATCACAGGAGAAGGATCCCACAGTCTGCAGGAATTTGTCACTTGTACCTTTCTTTTAGAAATGCTCCAGGGCTTAAAGCATAGCAGCTCTAATTATTGTAATAACCCTCCAGAGGGGGACACTCATCTGTCATGGTTGAAAGTGACTTCTTTTTTTTTAGTGGGAAAGCTTTAAAAATGTCTTGTTTGGACCCAAATTGTCATCCATTAATTGGTAATTTAAGCAAGTTACTTAAAGCCAGGCAATTAGGTTAACGAGAGCGCAGGCCGTTTGAAGTTGAGCAGGCATGGAGATGAGCTCAGTGCTCTTTAGAAAGACATTAAATCAATTTGGTGTGAAAGGCAGAGGGGCATAGTCCTCTCCTACAGTTTCAGGGAAAGATCATGCGCATGCAAATTTCTCCTGAAGCATGGAAATTACAATGGTGGGCCCCTCAGGCGTCCTGGCAGCCGCCCTACCATCGAGGAAGAAGCAGCAGCTGTCCCAGCTCCATCACCGGGAAGGATGACAGGCCTGGATTAGGCCTTGCACAGAGGCCAGGGACTCTTGAAGAAGCCAGGCAGACACAACGGAACCACAGACACACAGAACCCCTTGAACCTGGACAGATGGCATTGCTGATGAATGGGTTGGAATGGTAGAGGTCCCTCCAGTGGGAGCCAGCTGGATCTACCTAGAGCTGCTACATGGAGGGACAATTTCAGAGTAGCCAGGCTGCCTTTGGATGTTAGTCAGAGATATTCATAGCGCCATCAGTCACCCTTCAGAGGACAGTGTCAGATATCTTCATGACGTATTTCCCTGCTTGCCCAGACACCAGGAGTCAGCCATCTTGTTGACGAATGACTCAGGTTGAATTGATAGAGTGGGATCAGGCTGGCCAGACTTGTGTTCATGGGGCAAGAGTAATTATATTGTAAGTAGGCTATGCAGCAGAGCCTATATGCACAGGCTCACACGGCCATGGTCTAGTTTTGAAGGCAATTATCTGGAGGTGGAAAAGGATGGAGGCAAGTAAGTGATGAGGGCTCCAGAGGCCTTATCCAAGTTCACTTATGGAAGTCCTCCAGCACTACCTGTGGATGTATACTAGTCAGAAACACGTAGACGTGAAAGGGACAAGTGATCTAATGGTTTGGGATGTCTTCTAGCAGAAATTTTGGTCAGGTTGGGTTGTAGGTATGTCTCTCTCAGCAATGCATAATGAGTGAGTTCACATCATTGTATTTAAGGGAACTATTATTGCTATTCAAAACAAGCTTGATTTTGAAGTCTGATGTTGGGATAATGTCGAGTCAAGCTGGGCTTCTGCTTTGGGGGAATCTTGTGCTGCTTAGTAGATTGTACTAGAAATGCTATACTGATGTTCCTCCTCAAGATGCCTGTGCTTTTTCTTTTGTATTCTGGGGTTTTGTTGGGTGTCCCAATGGACATCTGCATCTGATGAGGTAGGTTAGTTAGGCCTGCCTTTTGTTGTTGTTGTCGTCAGAAAATCAGTGAATTGAGCCTCTCATTTCAAGCCATTGGGTTTATGATACAATTGTGTGTTGTCTTGGTCTTCCCTGGACAGCTTGCTATTAAAGCAGACAGTTGAGTTGTGGAGGCTGTCCAGCAATGTGTGGAGTATATCACATCCAGGATCTCTATAATTTCAGAGGAGGTACAGATGTAATTGGCCAATGTTAGGCATGAATAACACCCTACCAGGTATCAGTGTATTCAACAACTGGCCTGGCCAGAGACAAAGACATGTCAGAGCCAAGATGGATACCCCCTCTTTGAAATTCCTTCATTTCTAGGCCACTTAGAACCATTTGGACCAGGATTGGGGGGTATTCCACTATGTTTACATTATGGACCATTCATACATGTTGATTACATGTGGTGTCTAGGAAGCAAAGATTGATAAAATAATTTGTGTGGCCTCAGAGAACCTGACCAGACTCTGAGGCAGGTAAGGGGCAGGATTATAATATACCAGCATTATAATGTACCTTGCCTGACACTTATGCAGTTGCGAGACCCACATGCCAGGCTGTGGTTGTCTTCCTACACTCCGATTACACATTCTTTTTTTTTTTTTTTTGGGGTTTTTATGAGACAGGGTTTCTCTGTATTGTTTTGGAGGCTGTTGGTCCAGCCCGGCCTCGAACTCACAGAGATCCTCCTGCCTCTGCCTCCCGAGTGCTGGGATTAAAGGCGTGCACCACCACCGCCCGGCCCCGATTACACATTCTAATTGGGTCATGGAGGAGGAAAAATGAGAAGAGCTGGTTTTTCTTCAGGTGCCTTGGAACAGCAGCTGATTTAGTCATCAGCTATCACCTACAGGAGGCTGATGTCACAGTGTCACTTGTCGACTTGACACATCTGGGGGACCCTTCTGCCCACTGAGGAATGGTCTCCATCAGATTGGCTTGTGGGCGTGTCTGTGGGGCATTTTCTTGATTTCTAATTAATGTAGGTGGGCCTAGCTCACTGTGAGCAGGTAAATCCCTAAGCTGGTGGGTATGAAAAGGCTAGGAAGCCAGTATGCAGCTTTCCTCCATGCTCTGTGTTCCAGCTCCTGTCTCCAGGTTCCTGCCTTGGCATCATTGAGGTCTTCAGGAATGAATCGTAACCTGCAAGCTAAACAAACCCTTTCTTCCTCAAGCTATTTCTGGTCACAGTATTTCAGCACAGCGACAAAGAAGCAAATGGATACACAGATAGATGTTCACTATTTTCGTTTTATAGTCGAGGAAGGTGAATGTGGAGTGTGTGACAGTAACTCCCACCCTTACCAGCCTTCGTGACAAGGCTGGAGTTGGAATCAGGCCCAAGCCCTTTAGATTCGTGTTGATGGTGAAGGCAATGCATGTTGTTCCACGGGACTAAAGACAATAATGAGCTCAGCCATCACTCCAGAGTCACCACCCTTGCCTCAGCCAGAATTTAGTGTCTTCCTCTTCTTCACTGATTATTGCACTGCAATAATTAAGAGATTTGCATATTTGAAAATCCATACCAGAAGGCTTTTGGAAGAAAAAAATTGAGATTTTTAAGAACCAGGCATTCAACAATTGTATCTATATTTCCCAACTCACAAGTTCTCTATAATTTTTGTTGTTAGCTATTTTTCCACATTGATTTACTTTGAGGGAGAAATTAATTTTTTTCCTTCCAATGGCTTGGGAGCTGGGATCTGGGTTGCAGAGCTAGTCTAGTACTGTGATATTTCTTTAAAGCGTGTCTTTTCTCTCCTCTACTGTCCCTTATGGGACACTGGCATAACGGTTGCTTGCATCCTAATTTATAATCTGGCTGGTTACTTGGCAATTGAGTGGCTGCCATTCAGCTCACTCAACAAACATGGAGACAGGGCAACACGGGGCACTGGCCTGATGGGGGTTTGCTTATGCCATGTTTTCACCATCGGAGGCGTGGCCTAGTGAAGCTCACTTCTTCCTCATAGATATTTCCCTTGTGTGGATATTTTCCATTGGTTTCTCTCACCCGGTTTGTTTGACTTTGTTTCCATGTGTTGGGGAAGTCCTGTGTATTTGTCAATAAAGCACTGTTGGCCAATAGGGAACCAAGATAGGTGGGACTAGGAGTCCAAGAGGACTCTGGGAAGGAGAAACACAGGAGAGTCAACATGTAACCGCCATGGGGTAGGAAGCCCGGAAATATTCTCCAGTAAGAGAAATACTTAGATTAACAATTATGGGGTAATTACTTAAGTCTGAGCTAGCCAGTAAGAAACAAGCAAGGCCAACAGCTTCATAATGTGTGTTTATTTGGGACTGATGCGGCTCTAGAACCAGGCTGGCGGGAAGGCATTCTCTCAAACAAAAGGCTTCTCTTTACATCCGTGGACACAGGATTTCTCTTGTGAAGGTCTCCCTCAAATCTGTGGTCCTTTTTATTTTATATTTATTTATTTATTTATTTATTTTTGGTTTTATGAGACAGGGTTTCTCTGTATTGTTTTGGAGGCTGTTGGTTCAGCCTGGCCTCGAACTCACAGAGATCCTCCTGCCTCTGCCTCTGGAGTGCTGGGATTAAAGGTGTGCACCACCACCACCTGGCCTGTGGTCCTTTTTAAAGCAGGGACTTTAGGTGCTGGTGCTGCACTCCTTTGTAGCCACGCCCTTCATCTTGCTGTGGAGTCTGTCACCCCGATTTCGTCTTTCGGCGAGTGGCAGTTCTCTGGCTTTTTCATAGGTGCTTCTGGGAGGATCAAGGAGGATGGATCATCACATTGAAGCATGGCACCGACTATATGCCAGGAGCCCGATCTTCACAGCGGAGCAGAGGCAGAAGCAGAGAACAGATCATGACACCGTCGTTGGTGAGTGCGGCAACATGGGGGCCATGGGTGAATGCCTGTGCCACGGAACACCATGGCTTCTGCTTGGGCTGTGGGGAAGCAGGCAGGACAAGGGTAGCCTGAGGGAGGTAATGTCAGTGCTAAGCCTCAGAGGATGGGGAGCATTCCCGACAGGTGCATAAAATGGGGGGAGGGTTTTAGGTCGCTTGGGAAGTCTGAATGAAGCCTGGGTCTTTCTGTCATGAGAGACGGTGGAGCAAAAGTACATGTAGATTATAAATTTGCTTTATTTTCTCTCAGAAGGAGTTAGACCATTATGCAGCAAGGTATCAACCAGAGAGGAACTATCCTGCATGAAATAGCTGGGGCTTCAAGTCCCCCTGGTTGGTTCTTGGCACAATGTTCAGGGGACACTTTTAGTCGATGAAGCACGGGAGACTAATTTGGCAGTTCTGGCTGAGCTGCAGCTTCCTCCTTGACCAAACTTCTCCCCAAGGCTTGACCTTCCTCAACCCTTATAGGTTCTTGCTGCCCTCTTAGGAAAGATGTGGAAGGTACCAGTGAGAGTTCCTTTCTGTAGCTGAAGGGACAGCTGTGAGTGCCACTGTCCTTCAGCCAGAGCACAGAACGTCTTCAGAGACAACAAACCCAGGTCTTGGCATTGTGTGGGTCTCCGAGAAACAGGACACAAAGAGCGGACATGCTAGAAAAGCCAGGTGATCCTTCCTTCCTTCCTCCCTCCCTCTCCCCCTCCCTCCCTCCCTCCCTCCCTCCCTCCATTTCTTCTTTCCTTCCTTCCTCCTCCCTCCCTCTCTCCCTCCCTCCCTCTCTCCCTCCCTCTCTCCCTCCCTCCCTCCATTTCTTCTTTCCTTCCTTTCTTCCTCTCTCCCTCTCTCCCTCCCTCCCTCCATTTCTTCTTTCCTTCCTTCCTCCTCCCTCCCTCCCTTCCTCCCTCTCTCCCTTCCTCCTTTCCTTCTTTCCTCCCTCCGTCCCTGTTCCCTCCCTCCCTTCTCCTCCCTCCCTCTCTTCCTTCCTTTCTTCCTCCCTCCCTCCCTCTCTCCCTTCCCCCTTTCTTCCTCCCTCCCTTTCTTCCTTACTCTTGTTCTCTTTCCTTCCTTCCTTCCTTCTTTCGAGAGAAGGTGGCTTCACTATGTAGTCCAGGCTACCCTTAAAGCCACATTCCTCCTGTCTCAGCTTCCAGTGCTAGGATTGCAGGTTTGTGACACTACACCTTGGTTTTGTAAGGTTCTACAAGAATATTTTCACAGGGCAATGGAGGTATAGGTTTTTTCTATCAGTTTTATGAACAAGATTTATCCAGAAAGGTTATTGATGATGCACTGAGAGTATGACTTTAATATATGTATATATATGTATATGTATATATGATATTACAATGTGTGTGAGTTGGCATGTACACATGCCATGGACCATGTGTGGAAGTCAGAGGACAACTTTCTGGAACTATTTTCCTTCCACCTTGCTGATGTGGGATGCAGGGTCCCTCTTGTTTTTGCTCCCTGCCGTGTGTTCTCCTGGCTAACTAGCCTGTGTGTTTCTGGTGACTCTGCCACCTCCCATCTTGAAGTAGGAATGCTGGGATTACAGAAGTGTGCTACCATACTTAGCATTATGCAACCATTTGTTTATTTATTATTTGTGTGTAGAGCAGTATCATCGTGTGTGTGTGTGTGTGTGTGTGTGTGTGTGTGTGTGTGTGTGTAGGTCAGATGAGAACTTGTGGGGGTTATTTATCTCCTTCCAGGACTCATGGGGATAAACTCAGGCCATCAAGCTTGGCAGCAGGTGATTTGTTTGTTCACATCTGGCTGTTTTGTTTCTTTTACATGAGGTTTGGCTCTTGAATGCAGGTTGTCAAGCTTTCAAAGCAAGTGCTTTTACTGACTGAAGAGTATTGCTGACAGTTTTGAAGAGTATGTGAATGTGTGCCAGTCTATAATGTGACTGGAAGTCCTCTTATGTCACCAGTCTTATGACACTCAGACAAGAAGGAGTCTGATTGTTTTTTTCTGACACAAAATCATTGGTTTTGATTATAAAAACAATGCATGTAGTGATGGGAGCGTTTGGAAACTGCAGAGCGGAGTTTATAGTAACATGTTTGAGTTCCTTCCTGCCTCATCTGTCCTGCTTCTTCATATTCGCCACAGGGGGTCGATTTGCTCTGCGAGAACACTGGATAGATGAGCTGTCATTGGTGACATAAGGTTAGGTTCATTCCTCTCTTTTTTTTTTTTTTCCAATTGGAGTATTAGGGACCAAACCCAGGGCTTTGGGTATGGCATGCAGATACCTTATCACTGGGCTGTATCTCTAGCCAATAGTTTTCTGAGACAAGACCACCATCCAATAGGCCAGGCTGGCCTGGCCCTCACAGTTCTCCCACCCCTGTGAAATTCCTAAGTGCTAAGATAATTGTGAGCCCACCATGCCTGGCTGGGTTAATTTGTTCTGCAGTTCTCCTATGTAATGTTGCAATAGTCACATTTAGAGATAAATCTTTGTATTCCTATTAGAAGTGTGGCCCTCGGGTGGGTTCTAGGAATAAGATATGATGGCTCAAAGACTTCTGGGGTTGCTTTGAATTTGTCTTCTCTCACTGGAGCTTATGTTGATTGACAGCTTGCTGGGGCTGAGAAGCTGGTTTCTGGGTGCGTCCATGAGATCCTTTCAAAGAGGACTATTTAAGGGGAGGGGACGCACAGACTGTTGGTGGCCTCTCTGGTAGGCTGGGGACCTGGATGGGACGGAGGAGCGGGAGAAGGACAAAGCCACTGGGCCAGGCATCTGCTTGCTCCTTCCCTCCTGGCTACCACAATGTGAGGTGCTGCACCTCATGGGGCTCCTACCTCCAGGGGCTGTGGAAGGGGCGCCCGGGACTCCCCTCTTCTTCAGATGGTTTCTCTCAGGTGTGTGTGGCCAGGTGATGGGACAGCTGGCATGCCCAAAGGAACCCTCATTTCAATTCTTTCTGTGGTTGGCACCGAGGGCTAGCCTCAGACCCTCCTCCCCGTCACCCTCCCTGCCATTGAGCTGCACTCCCAGCTCCCTCATTTCAGTCTGAATGTCTTTGTCAGCAGCAGGGTGTCTGTATTGTTTTTTAATGTTCTTTTTTTTAAATTTTATTTTCCAGTTTAAATTTAGATAAGAAACAAGGTTGCTTCACAAGTCAGTTCCAGGTCCCTCTCCCTTTCCCTCCCCTCCTCCCGTGCCCTCCCCCAAACCCTCCTCATTCCCCCAGGGAGGGTGAGGCCCTCCATGGGGGTGTCCATAGTCTGTCATTTCATATAGGGCAGGGCCTAGACCCTTCCCCAAGAGTTCAGGGTGAGAGTGCACCTCACATTGTTCTATGGGAGTCCAAAGTCCGTGTGTATACTTGGGATGGGTACTGATCTGCTGCCCAAGGCTCAATAGATTCCCTAGGCCTCCTCACTGACACCCAGATTCAGGGGGTCTTGATCAGTCCCATGCTGGATTCCCAGGCTGATGCCTGGGATTCAAGAGTTAACCTTTGTCTGGTCAGCTGTTTCTGGGGTTAAACCAGCCCAGTCTTAATCCCTTTGATCATCAGTCCTCCCTCTCTGTTACTGGCTTTCTTGAGTTCAGCTCAGTACTTAACCGAGGGAGTCTGCCTCTTCTTTGATCAGCCACTAAATGAAGTTTCTGTTTCCCAGACTTTCTGGCCATAGGATTGTAGGCTGGCACTCCCCAGATCTATGTCTAAAATCCATATATGAGAGAGTACATGCCATGTTTCTCTTTTTGTGACTGGGTTACCTCACTCAGGATGGTTTCTTCTAGTGTCATCCATTTGCCTGCGAATCTCATGATTCCATTATTTTTTTCTGCTGAATAGTATTCCATTGTGTAGATGTACCACATTTTCTCTATCCACTCTTCGGTTGAGGGGCATCTAGGTTGCTTCCAAGTTCTGGCTATTACAAATAAAGCTGCTATGAACATAGTGGAACAGACATCTTTGTTGTATGAATGGGCATCTTTTGGATATATGCCTAAGAGTGGAGTTGCTGGGTGTGTCTGTATTTTTGTGTTGACTGAATTTTGTGTTTTCCTTGGGTCAATTAAAAAATTTAAATACATTTCATTTTGTGTGTGTGTGTGTGTGTGTGTGTAAGTGTGGGCACGCGTGAGCGCATGCACACGCGTGTACATGCGCAAGTATGTGTATGTGCATGTTTGCCAGTGTGTGGAGGTCAGAGAACAACTTGTGGTTGTTGGTTCTCTCTAACCACTATGTGGGTCCTAGGGATTGAACTCAGGTTTTGAGACTTGGCGGCAGGCTCCCTTACTGGTTAAGCCATATTGCTGGCCCCTTTTAGTCAGTTTTGAGCTAAAATGTTCTCATCCGAGAAAAAAGATTTATTAGATTTATTCTCTGTGTATGAATGTTTTACCTATATGTTTGTATGTAGGCTGTATGGGTACCCAGTGCCCACGGGGGCCAGATCTCTGGAAACTGGAGCCTTGAACTAATAGAGATCCATCTGCCTCTGTCTTCTGACTACTGGGATTAAATGTGTATACCACCACTGCCTGGTCTCTGTGGCTGGCTAGTGTGGCTAGCTATGCACTCTGATCTTCAGGCGAGCTTTATTTGTTAGATCACGAACAAAGTGTCGCCACAAGTGCTCTTAGCCTTCGGCTGTCTCTCCAGCCATCTTTGCACTTTAAAAGAATTCAATAATCATTTACTTCACTATATAGTTACATTGCATTCATCTTGGACGTAAGTGATTGAGCTCTTATTTAATTATTCATACAATTATCTGAATATCCCATCATTTATGGGGGGAATGGTCTCCCCCTCACTGATTGCAGATGTCACTCTCAGTGACTTTTTTGTAAGCAGGAAGATACATGCATTGCTGACTAATCTAACTTTATGAAAAAATGCTATAGCCGGCGAGGTATATAACACACAGTTAGAAGGAAATCAGACAGTAGGAGTGCAGAACCAAGCAGCAACTCAAATATTAACA